CAACTTACTCTTGTATAAAATCTGTCGCAAGGTATCAAAATGATACATCTAACTTAGACTTAAAATTACAGTAACAGTATTAGTTCTTGGATCAAGGGTAGTCGTAGATTACATCCAATAATTCATTATGTTCCTCATTTTTGTTCGTTTAAATACATTGTGATAACAAAAAAACTAATTCTGTATGTAAATCCGAAGACGGGTAAAAAACTATTAACAACAACGGTCGCAATGTATCTGTTTTCTAAACGATTTTTACGATAAATGAAATAAACATAGTTTTAAAACGGATATAGGTATCTTGAGACTTAATCCAGGACTTTGCTATAGCTAATGTATGAATATCGAAATTAGAAGATGTAAATGATGTAAATTAGAAGATGTAAATATTACTATAAAAAATATTTTTTGTTGTCAACTTAATCGTTTTTTGCAGCGTGCTGTTGGTTAGTACTAATAATAGTTGAAACTTTATTAAATTATTAATATACTTTATTGTTAGTTCCTTGTTAAGTACTTTTCGTTTTTCCAGTTTCTTTCGAACTTTATTAAAATAGTTTATCTGATATAATAGTTAATGCATCCTTAAATTCAACTTTGAAAAATTTGGTTCCTGAAAACCTCCTCTTATTGCGCAACATATATAATGGAATACCATTATCTGCAAATTTAACCTTTAATGGCCCAGGCTTATTATTATTCTCTCTCTTCAATCCTGACCCCTCAGGGGGAGTGTAGTGGTCGACGTGATGTCGTGTATTGTCCGTCTCCAGAGATCTCTGTCTCTGGTCATTTCTTTTAATTCATGCATAGGTCTTTGGCATATTCCTGTAATTTGATCTATCCATCTTGTTGGGGATCTTCCTCGTGATCTTCGGCCTTCTACCTTTCCTTGTATTATGAGTCTTTCCATGTTTTCTGTGTTTGCTCTCATAACATGCCCAAAATATTTTAATTGTTGGAGATGGACTTTACTAGAGAGTCGTTGGCTAACTTTTAGCTCTCTTAAAATTGAATTATTTGTTCTACGGTCGGTCCAAGGAATTCGTAACATTCGTCTCCAACAGAACATTTCAGTGGCGTCTATCTTTCTTCTCTCCGATTGTCTCAGAGTGCAAGATTCACATCCGTAGGTCAGTATTGGGAATATTAAGCAGTTTATCAACCTCATCTTTATCGCTCTTGAAATTTGACAGTTCCTTCCATATTTTGGTCATTTTTGCTGTGGCAACTTTTGCTAGATCACATCTACGTTTAATCTCTTCTTGTAATGACCCTGTGTTTGTGATTAATGATCCCAGATATAAGTATGAGCTCACAACCTAGAACCGGTCAATTGTGGTTATGTGTGGATGATTGTTCTGTAGTCTATCCACTATCATGATCTTTGTCTTTGATATGTTAAATTGCAGACCAAATATTTGACTTTCGTTTTCGATCAGTCGTATAAGTTCCATCAGCTCTGCTTGACTATTTGCAAGAAGGGCTGTGTCATCTGCGAAACGTAGGTTGTTTAGTTTATGACCATTTATTGAGATGTCCTTTTCTCATCCTTCAAGTGCTCTGCGCATAATATACTCCCCATATATGTTGAATAATTGTGGAGATAGTATACATCCTTGTCTGACACCCCGTTCTAGATGAAACTCGTTCGAAAGTGTGTCAAGTACTTTAACTGATCCAGTAGTGTGTTCAGTGTAGTTCTATAATTGTCGCCTTTATGGAAGCTGCCTTTTTTATGTATGGTCGTTATTGTAGATTTTGTCCAGTCGTCAGGCCATTGTTTGAAATGCTATATTTGGTTGCAGAGTAGATGAAGTAACTTTACGCCGGTTTCTTCTGTGGCTTTAAGCATTTCTGCTGTTATTGTATCTGGACCTGGTGCTTTGTTATATTTGAGCCTGTGGATAGCCTGTCTTACTTCATTTTCGAGTATATCAGGTTCTTCTTCCACCTCGTCAGAGATTTGGCTAACAAGCTCTTGGCGTTGATCATCTTTATATAGGTCCCTGCAATACGATCTCCATGTCTCTGCTATGTCTTCTCTGTTTTGTTCTCAGGGTTCCAGTGTTATCTTCAATGGCCCAAGTTCTGGCTCTGAAGTCTCTTGTCAGGTAGCGTATTTTTCTAAATAGATCTCTCGGCTGATTATTCTGACCATGTCTCTCAATGTCTTTGCATATACTTTGATAGTACTGTTTTTTGTCGGTTATTATTATTATTAACCATTTCAATACGGAAAATGGACGTAAATGAGATATTGCGCGATTTTGAAAAAAAAAAAACGATAAACAACTTTTGGTTATGTTTTTGGCACATTTTAAACCTTTCGAGGTCCAGGTTGCATATTTTCTTTGATATATTTAGTAGTAGCTAGTCGAGTTTCATGGCATCCAGTTACATTGTCTTTGTTATTTTTGGACCAAGGTATAAAAATAAAAAATTGAAAATTTAAATTACGGAGTAATGTATTTTTGAAAAAAGGAGCGAAAATGGGTGCGGGGTTCGCTCGCGCCCGACCCGGTACCATCTAAACATTCCGTATATGTATTTGGCACCTAGGACTTTTCTATTGGTCCTTTGCGGCAGGCTGCAATGTTTCAACCAATAGTCGGCGAGGTGCCAAACACGTATATGGAATGTACTTTGGTGCAAAATTCATATACGCAATGTTAAATCTTCGCAGACCAAAAAATACGACTTTTCGATAAAATCAGAAAAGGAGAGTGACTTTAAAATATTTGTTAATGTATTATTAAAAAAAAAGTAAACTAGTGCAATAGGAAATAAAAACAAACATATTTAAATAAAGAATAAAAAAATTTTAATTTGTAAATTTTAATATTTTACAAAATTTAGCCATTTTTAGCTGTATTTATTTAATTTGCTGTGATGTTAGATGAAAGATTATGATGCCTTTTAAACCTTTTCTTTTCTTGGGTTGAACTTTAGGTGAGTGTCCAAATGGTAATCTGTTTGACCCTCTAGTAACTTTCTTCGACTAATTGAAGTTGGTTGCACTCTTTTATTGGCCTTGTATCCAAATCGCCTTGCCGAGGAACTTCCTGCCATATTTAAAAAACTTTTCTAAGCCATCTTGGTTTTAATATGGGATAATCATTCGTACAATAATTTTAACGTTGATGAATCAGTTTCAAATGTAACATTTTTAAACTAATATCTTTTCTAACCTTACTTTCATCACTGATATCAATGCTGGTAATATTAAAATGGTTCTGTAACACAATAACTGGATCGTGAAAGCCCTCTATAAAATAGATAAGGTTGAACTTTTTTGCCAAAAGCTAATTTATCTACTTCGTATCAATATTCAGTTGCAAAGAGATATATAATATATTAAAAAAGTGTGCAGTCTCAGCTTAATGCTTGCAAAATAAACCCAATCTTTCAATTTTGCAGCTGCAAAATCCTGTTGCTAAATCGATTTCGTAAATCAAAGAATTATTTTGATTACTAGGAACTTTGTACATATTTTAAGATAATTTAATTATGTCTTCCTGTTGATAATAGTGATGAAAATAATGTTAGAGAAGATATTCTTTTAAACAAAATTGAAATAGCTAAACAGATTTTAGTAATAGGTTACAAGATAAAAATGTTACATTTGAAACTGATTCATCAACGTTAAAGTCATTGCACGAAAGATTATTCCATATTAAAACTGCTTCGGAAAGTTTTTTAAATATGGCAGAGTTACTAGAGGGTCAAATAGATTACCATTTGGACAACCACCTAAAGTTCAACCTCCTAAAAAAGGTTTAAAAGTCGTCACAATCTTTCGTCTAACATCGCAGCAAATCAAAGAAACGCAACTAAAAATGGCGAAGGAAATCGAATTTCGTATAAATATTACATTTTAAAAATTTAAATTTTTTTATATTTATTTAAATATATTTTGTTTTATTTCTTATTGCATTGACTTATTTTTTTTTAATAATACATTAAAAAATATTTTAAAATTACTTCCCTTCTCTGATTTTAATCAGAAGTCGTCTATTTGGGTCTACGAATATTTAACATTCCGTATATGAATTTCGCACCAAAGTAACATTCCATATACGTGTTTGGCACCTCACCGCCTATTGGTTGAAACATGGCCGCGTACCTCAAATTACCAATAGAAAAATCATAAGTTCCAAATACATATACGGAATGTTTAGAGGCGACCCGGTACTGGGTGTATGTCAAAGTTGACTACTAATTTTGTTTAAAGTTGACATATTTTAAGTATTCAATTCCTTCTATAAGTACTTTGCTAATAGTTATTTTGTTATAATATGCAGCCTACCAAAAGTGTTAATAGTCTGACAAATCGCTTTTCTTACTTGTTCTTAAAAATTTCGACCATATTGAGACTTTCATTGTTCATGAATTTGTCTTAATTGCCTCATTAGCATTTTTTGTAATTTATATTGTTTACTATCGTATTAAAAAATTGCTTTTTTTGGATTTCTTTGAATTTTGGTTCATTTTCATGTTATCAGTTATTGGCTTAATTTTGTACTTAGGATTTCCTAGAAAATCGTTATCTTAATAAGTGATGAGTAATTTCTGTGATTACTTTATAATATATTCAAAGTTAGAGTTAATATTTTACCTCCAGTCTATATAAACCACATGCGAAATCTAAAAATATTTGTATTGTTATCGTGCTTTTCGATTGGATTGATTTGGGTGGTATGTTCAAAGTTGGATAATTTAAGGCTAAAGAAAAAGAAGAAGAAAAAAATTGTGCTTTTCGAAAGTAAATAGTGTTCAATAGAATTTATTGCGACCCGTACTAATTCTCAATAGCGATGCAAATTTTGTCCCGAACAAGATGGATTCTTAATTTAGCTGATTAAATTGCTGCTTCAAATTGTGGTGTGTAAATTTTCCTGTCGTACCTATAACAATATATTTTCCAATTATCCTGAAACATAATTTAATAAATATTTATTTTTGCACACGACGATTTCGATGGCTGTATCAATAAAAATATGGATGAAATGACGCTAGAGGTTAGTTTAAAGACAGAAGATGATACCTTTAAGGAAATAACAGTAGAAAATGACGAGATATCTAATGATTCTGACAGCGAAGAAGAAATAATAAACATCGAATGGAAGACATGTATTTTCCCAAAGATATTCTTTGTGGATGAAGTAATTGGAAAACCGATAGAAACTCCTCTATAAATATTGCCATCAAAACAGAATGACAAACTTTTCACGTTGTTCATTACTCCTAAAATGTTAAAAAAATATCATTTACACAAACTAAAGGAGTAGAAATACAAAACCGTAATAATGAAAATGGCTTGGCATGGAAAAATGTACAAGAAACAGAAATCTACGCATTCATAGGTTTACTAATCTAAGCTGGACCTCTGAAAAGTAGCCGCGAACCAATCAATACGTGGTGGAATGACGATTTATGTTTTAAGCAGATCATATGTTCAGCAATGATGCCCCAAATTCATTTCTCTCAAATATCAGGATTAATGCGATTTGATGACATAAATATCAGTGAAGAACGAAGGAAGATAGATAAATTAACACCAATCCGCGATTTTTTCAAAATGTTTGCAAGCAATTGCCAGAAGACTGCAACCCAGGCTTTCACCCGACAGTAGATGAGCAGCTGGTGCTATTTTGTAGCAAATATTCCTTTAGGGTATACATAACGATTTAACCTACCAAAGTCTTGTTAAGACTTGGTTTTTGTGTTGAAACCCGGTCACGGTATCACCACAGACAACTATTTCACCTCCATAGAGTTAGCCGAAATTTTTATTGACAGAAAATTGACAATAAGTGGAACTTTACGACGCAATTGGACTTATATTCCTGAGATTTTTTGCCATTTAAAGTAGACTTTTATATGCTTCCATTTTGGATTTTAATCAAAAGTTCATCATGACATTCATATTTCTAATGAAGAAAAAAGAAGCCAGAAATGATATTAAATTATAACGCTACTAAGGGTGAGGTAGATCCCTAGACAAGACGGCAGCAAAATATAGTTGTAATAAACAGTCCCAAAGGTAACCAGCAGTGTTGTTTATAAATACAGTTGACATAGTGGCCCTAAATGCTATTGCTTTCTGGAACAATCTTAATTCGGAATAAAAATCAGTAAATTTAAATAAAAGGTGGCTAATTCTTTTGAAATTGGCAAAGAAGTTAGTAGAACCTCATAAAAGAAACATAATTAGAGATCCTGCTATATGCTCTAGAATAACTACAACGACAAAGGATAATAGAAATAGAATAAGGTATAAGATACTATTGGAACAAACGTAGAGGAAATCCCGGAGGACAACATTTAACCCAACTAAGAGCGGCCAAAAAGGAAAAGGTGTTACGGGTATCCAAGGAGTAAAGACAACAAAGTGAAAAGAATATGTGCCCAATGCAAGAGAAACATATATCAAAAAGAGAAATCAAACGATTTCTACCTGGCTTCATCGTGGTCAAAATTCGTAGTGAATTAATTCAATCTAGTACCGTCTTTATATAAAAACATATCGCACTAATAATACAATAGTGTCGCAACTCAAAATTCGTCGAAATTGACATAACATTATATTCACGCGTAAAATTTAATTCCCTATAAGTCAATAAAACTGTCGTTTTAATAGTGCAATAAATGAATAAGATATGGCGCCATAAGACGATATTCATGACTGATCGACTGCCGTCACCCGCTTCACAATATCGCGTGATCTTTAGTTGCAACCAACGGTGATCGGGAACGCACGTATTGCTTTGCTCATCATTTCGAGTTTTAACGTTATTGCTGAATCAGGTATGTAATTTTCATAGCTATATTTCAAGTTATTACATTCTTGTTGATTTGAACCTAACCATAATATTGTTGTTTTTCTAGTTATTACACTATTACTGATTTACACCAGCACTTTTTAAATTATTATTTTTACTAACGACACTATTCTTGGTTCAGTTCATAATTTTTGACATGCTACGTTATTGTTGAATAATCACTTTAAACCATTTTTGTTGTTGTTTGTAAAACATTTATTAATCAATATCTATTTGCCGATCACCGAATAGTAATAACTCATTTAAGAAGTGTAGCATTGTTATTAAGAAAGCTTATCAACTACTTTATTTTATAAATTTAGAGTTAATACACTCTTTGTGACATTCTTCCGTCAAGTACCTATATACTTAATCTAATAATATTAATTGATTCATTTGTAGGTTTAATACCTATGAGTCGTGGGCGATTACTTGTTGCTATGGCAACAAATGCTGAGGACTGCGAGCAGGAAATCTCTTCACCGTCATTATTGTCACTGGAGAGTAGAAATAATGAACCTGATGTCCAAATAGAAAACAGTGACGTTGCGAAAGTACGATCACCTTAAAAATTTTACAATCTGAAATTACTTCAAGAAGAGTGGGGTAACAATTGTAATGTTAATGAAGAAAAAGACAAAATCAAATGGCATGACATTAAGGTATTTCGTGTTGAAAACGAACATCCATTTACTTTCTTTTATAAGAACTCTTACGAAGATGAAGATTACCAAAAAGTTTTCGTACGTAGCTAACGACGAACTGAAAACCAGACTTCGTTATTTGCTAATGGTTTGACACGAGAGTACACAAACAAGATACCTTTAACTGAAAATAAGAAAAGGGACTTGCTTGACAAAAATGTAATACCCAGAAGTTACCGTGAAACTTACTATAAGGATTTGATCGATTAAAAATTAAAATTGTATTTAATTGTAATCAGTAATAATTGATTTTGAGACTGATTGAAACTCTGAGTTTTGAGACTGAGTTTAAATAATTTGTTTTTCTTTTAAATAGGTCCTTTTAATTAATCACGAATTACTTAAATATGACTATATTTTGTGTTCTTTTTTCAGAAGGTTTATTTTGTTAAATATATAGATTAAGTACAAAATGTTCAAGAATACTGTATTTTGTTATCTGTATCTGAGTTTGTTTGATTATAATATAAACGTAATTAAAAACAGTCTTGATTTATTTATTAATACCAAAATTGACAATTCTCGGTAATTGTTAACGTGTAATACAATCTCTTTAGATCCGAAGTTAACAAATACCAAGAATCAAGTTCCCAAAATTGTTGTAAGCTGTAATAAAAACTAACGTAAGTGTAATAAAAACTAACGTAAACCACAAAAAAAATAGTAAATCAAATTGTAGTAACACAAAATATTTCATAAATAATGTCATAACTAAAAATAATATTTCATTTTGAACATTTTGCTTAGAGCAATACAGTGTTAACTCAAATTTTTTTAATAACTTCACTGTCAGTATTTTTATTTAACAAAGAGTACAAACAAACTTCATTTAATATTAATTAGAAACATATTATGCATTAATTTTATTTTTACCTGCAATAGGAAATGAGTAATCAGTTTTTCGTTGATTCTGAAAAATCATCTTTTTTGAGTTACGACACTATTGTATTATTAGTGCGATATGTTTGCTTCACAGCAAAACTGTTTTAGTGTGCAAAGATTGTAAAAGCTAATTTTAAATATGTATATTTTTTATATTAGACGAATTTTGTAGATATCAGTAATATACGCTTTTTTATGTAACATCTTTATATTTTATTAATAAAACCATCGAAGGTAAATGAATAAAAAATTACGACAGCACAATTAAACATCAGTGACAAAGTTATCAAGTTATACAAATAAAAATCAACATTTACAATAAAAAACAGCTGGACGTTTCAGAAATCAGCCTGTATGAGGATAAATAACCAAGGTTAAAATAAAATTTTTAAAAACGAAGTTCGGATTGGAAGTCGAACCGTCAAACAATAATTATAAAATGTTATTTTGATTACAGTCTATTTTGGTTTAAGCCCACATAAACATAATGTGTATTTTATTTCTTATACTACTTTCCACCTAAAGCAAATTATATTTTTTAAACATTTTTGCCCATGAAAGAGATAGAAAAGGTATATTTTTAATTGAAAATCTAGTGCCTTAGAAGTAGATATGCAGCAAAAGTTAGTATATTATTACGTAACAACATAAACATTTAAGTTAATATACTCGGTAAATTTTCATGTAGCCAATATAATGCACAACTGGTGGTAAACCCTCATTTAGTATTTATATACCTACTAATTCCCGCTTCTTACCATCACCTACTAAAATTGCATAAAAATGTCATATCTACATATCTATTAGCAACAAACTATGAATAATGCGGCGATAAACATCTTTACTTTAAAATCGCTTATGTAATGATGCTTATAAAAATTCTTTCTTTGCGTGTGTTGAAAACGATGTAACATTTTTCTAATGGTATTGACAAGTGTTTTGATGACACATATTTTAAAATTTATATAAGTAAATCAATATTAATTTTATTCAATATACTTATTATATTATTAGACTAATGTACACGCACAACTTTCAAATAACCAATGAGCTACATAAACTGATTTGAATATACACATCAAAATAATCTAGGGGGCAAAACAAAATACGAGATTACAGTAGGATTTCAAGTAATTTATTTTCAATATTTTTATTCAAAATTTATAAACAAGGGTCCCAAATATAAAGTAAATACTTTTTCGTAGAATTATAACAATATCTCTTAAGAAAATTAAAAGAGAACTCCAGCAATAGCAATATCTCTTAAGAAAAATAAAAAAGAACTCCATAAGTGAAATACGGTAACAGAAAAAAATAAAAACTAATTTGTTGCTCCTCAACTGCCAAGAAAGAAGTCTCTATTTTACGTTAGTATAGTGTATGGCTTCCGCCGTTGTTGTTTCTAAATCAAGACTCACCTATTATATATGAACAAAGTGGAAGCCCACTCACGTCTAAACCAATTTGCGTATTCTGGAATTTGGAGATCTTGAATACTTTCTGACAGAATTACTGTATCATCCGCATATTGAATTATATTACGTAGTTCCCCGTTGATTTTGATTTAATATGGCTGTCTCTCAAGTTCCTTTGTAAATAGCTGATCCAAGTAAACATTGAAGAATGTTGGGGACAAAATGCAGCCGTGTCTGACTCCTCGTTATATGGAGATTTTATCGGTGTTACTATCTCAGATTTTTACAATAGCAGTTTGATTACAGTACAGATATCTGATGATACGATTATCTTTGTTAT